ACTTCCTATAAATACTACCAAAATATTCAGTTATCTTTATTGATATAATGGGATTAAAAAGGCAAAATTACTTTCTATTGCTGATTGTGATTTTCGGTCAACATTACTCCCGTGTTTTTTAATTCAATGCGTTAATTATTCAGAGTAATATTTGTCTTTATTTGACAGTGTGATTAATGAAGCTGAGTGTACAAACAATATATAAATGAGTGTATTTTAGACATAAGGGTTTTCGTCATGTTTTGAGGTTAATAAATTTTGATTTGTGCCAGTATTTGTGTTTTTAATTCGTGTGGTGAAAAACTGCAGTGATTCCTCATTTTACAAGCATAAGTCATAGCGATGCCGACGTAATAATTGGCAACGACCAGACTTAACAGTTAACGGTCAGTCATAACAGTTTTATATCGAACTAAATTAAAAATTGCTGCCAAATTTATAATAAAACTGATTTCATGGGAGTAGCTTTAATCGAAGAAATGCAGTGTTAAGTATTTGTGACCTTGTATAGAATGTAGCAAAGTAGAAATGATAAAGTAAAATTTACTTAACTATCATGAATTGAGTAAAGGTTAACAATAAAGTTTCAAGGATATTTATGCTGTGTTTCTGTAGTTTTTAAACTTTTAGTGAAGTCCGATATTAATATTTTCGTGCGTTTGTCAATAACTGTGATAATTTGTTCGGCCAAAAGTTTCTGACGCACATTAGCAGACAAACTAAACATCGTCTAAAATAAATAAATAAGTAAAAAGTAAATTTAAATGCCCATGTTGGTTAGCTTGAAATTATTCACTAGATAAATAGGTATTTAGGTATAGGAAAATGTATTTATGATCAGTCTTCTGACTACAGCCTTTATAAATTAATGGACTTTCTATTAGGTTTTTCATTACATGCAATCAATTTATTATTATTCACTTTTCATTTGATTTCCGCCTCATTTTTTCTATCTCTTGCATCGTAGAAATCACGCACAGTTTCGGCGCTTTTTATCTTTGTTACAGGAGGACAAGTGAAGTTGATATATTATTTGTTTAGCGCTTTTAATGAAACGAAAATAAATTAAAACATTGTTTTCTCTCCTAACTTAAATTACTACTAATTTATTAGATTTTCCATCTGAAAATCTATCAGATAACGAATGGGCACTAATAACAATATTTGTTATGCAAATGATGCTTCAGTACAGGCTTAATCATTGGCTAGATGTAACCTGCTCTTTTACAAAATATAAATTACTCCGTTTGTTTTTTGTCTAGTTCTAGCTAGTTTGATGTAAAATTTAGACAAAAAAATATGTCTATATGATTAAAAAAAATGAGGATTGTCAGCTTCGATGTAGTTTGAATGAATCACGTTAAGTCAAGTTACGGATAAATTTTAAAAATATCATTTCTATGCAACACACTGGTTCAGTCCAACATTTTCAATGTGTCTTCACCAGTAGTGTCAAATTTGATTTACAACCAATGTTATTTAGTAAACAGATGTATAAATTTAGAAACTAAGGTTCATAGTTTGGTAATTAAACAAAACATGTAATGTTTTCGTAAGTTTCAACAAAAGCTCTAGATTAACAAAACTACTAATCAATTGTTCCATGGTAAGTCTTCATAATATAGTATCGCATTACAATTGTATACTGATGACTACATTTACAACTAAATGAAACTAGTGCTTGGACTCGTTACTACAAATAACAGAATAACCTCTCAACTAAGTATACACCGAAAGTTTATAAATATATCCCCATCATTTCTTTCTAAATAAGTTAATACCGGCATTAGGATTTAGAAGAGGATGACCTTTAGTTAATCATAGGCTATGTGTATTACTATGATCAAATGTTTTTCTGAGTGACAATAGTATCTCAAGTAGTGATACCGAACACTGAAGAAAGGCCAACTGTGCTATAAATATTTATATCTAACTATGTGTGAATCTGATAATAAAAATAGGAGTATATTTGTAACATAGCAGTGAGAAAAAACTGAATTTTTGCCGAATCTGAATCTGTTGTAAGCCACTTCTTCGGAAAATAAATGACATCTTCAAGTCATCACAAGTTCAGCTGTTATAAGGAATAAATCAGATTGAATAGCTAGTACATACAAAAAGACATGATTGTCAGTATGGGGGTTGTGGAGATTGTTAAGTTTTTGGTTGAGATCATGAATTAATTGATGTTAGACCACCGTTTGAAACCTGGAAGCACTGGACGGCCGTTTCACCCTAGTATGGGACTCCTCAGCATTGCGCATCCACGATCCCGCACCCCGCGGGATTCGAACCCAGGACCTACTGGCCTCGCGCCTGAGCACTTAACCATTAGACCACTGAGCCGGCATCCAATGGTGTTAGTGTCTAACATTAACCAATCCACGAAATTGCGCGACCACCTTCCATTGTACTGAGGTAGATACCTGTCTCTACCTGACACAGATTAGCTTCACTGGTCACGACTTCTCACTAGAACTCCGAGAATTCCCTCACGAAGCTAGTCACTAGTGCTTCCAGGTTTCCAACGGTGGTCTAACATCAATTAATTCATGATCTCAACCAAAAACATGATTGTGTTGTTTTGATCAATGTGTAGCGCGTATTTATGTATATATACGTGTGTATAAATAAATATTTCTGTTTTAATGAAGTCATTCAGTTTTTGTGTTTCTCTTGTCTTGAACAAATAAATAATAACAATTTCGGTAAGATTTAAACATAGCGACGACCTTGAGGAACTGTTTAAATGACTTAGATCAGTTTTAGTCTATCAGCAAATGGGTCACATAAATAATTTAAAATATAAAATAAAGAAAATTACAATGTATGATTTTTACATGAATAATCAAGTTCTCCCCTGTAACCAGTATTTCTTAGTAAAACTTATTTCTGAAATAAATAAAAAGCCGAGATGTTACTTTACGAATTGTTTATTTCTGATCGATTTTTCTTATAAATATACATTCCAAAGAAGCATCACTATCTCGTATATCTTTCTCTTCTTTAACCAAAGTTTACTGTCAACAAAATGTAGTAAATAGTTTGTAATGTTTCTTGGCGAGACTAATTTATGGACAAACCAATAAGGTATAAGATAACCGGTCCCGGATTGTGGCGCGAAATTTCCTCATCCATTTGGCCAAATAGACTTTTGGCATTATAGCTGATGAAAACCCTAAATCTGATTCCTATCCATAACTATCAACTGTAAATCATAATTCTAAGTCCTCAAACTGCTTTACAACTCCCATTTAGTCCTATTTAATAGGTGGACATTCTCAAGGTCACTTTAGCGTCACTCAAAGGTAGTCCATAAATTATAGTCTCACCTGTTTCTTTTTTCTTTGAAACTAGTTATGATACGATCCATAGTGGATTTTCATTAATGATTTTCGTACTGTGATGATGGGATCTTAATCTTGATTGGTTCGTCGTCTTAACCAAACTTTGTGGTTTTCATAATGTGGTCCAGTCGAATTTCACTATATTGAAGTGATGTGTTGAAAGTTATCATCGTTCACACATCCTTTTTTAAGTACTAATTTTCAGTCGACGAGCTTAATTTTCACACTCCCTTGGCATATAAATAAACACTATTGACAAATTAGTAAACAACTACTTCTATGTAGAGAAACAAACGACTTACTTTAGAATAAAATATTTTTTCTCGAATATATGGGACGTGTTTTGTCGTATATAGAACTCCTTAGTTGTATCTACTGCATTCCGTTAACTATTGATATCTTACCTAAAACTCGAATCTATTCCCTTATTTCTCGATTAACAATTCATTAAGTCGAGCTGTTATATTGAACTGGTATGGTACTTGCTCTGAAGCTAATATTAAGCTTAGCCTATCACTAATAACCTAATGTCGACTCTTATGAAGATTAAGTTTGTAGCATGCAGAGTTCAATATCATTTCCACCATAGTTCCACAAGTGACCTTACTTAATCACCTCCTGGATTAAGTAAAATGCGTCCGAGTTTCTTGATACATATAATATAGCTTGGTTGTTGTGTATGAGTAAAAAGCTGATCCATTCAAACTTCTGTATACTGTCAAAACACTGTAAATTGAATTGAGATATTTGTAAAGCTAGCTAGTATATTGTTCTTTAGAGATAAAGGAAATTTAGGTATCTTCACTCGTAGTCTTATCATATAGTTCCTTTTCGTGTTATGTTGATTCTTACATGAAAAATTTGGGTTGAAATACGATTTGTCCTGTTGGCTTATGTCCTTCGGATTTGACATAACCCTGCTGATTTTGATAATATTTCAAGTGTTTGTATTAATATTTCAGCCATTTTTGAATTCACACTATTACGATGTAATTGTAAGTCATCTGAATTAGTTTCTGTAGGAAATTATCAGAAACAAACATTTGCAAGATATTATTTTTGTAAAAATCAACCAGTTACTGATCATTACATGATGTTGTTCCCATTTCTTTCTTTTTGATTAATCAAATTTCGCACCCGATGAGCATACTGTATGTCAGAATGTATCCAAGCTGTTTTCAATCCTTGTCATGCCTGAATATTCGTTCAAGTCTTGTGGAGTTACAGATGTCATTTTCTATAAGCTACTTTCTGTTTAGTTTTATCACTTCAACAGCGGACAATCGATAATTTAATTATCACACCGACGGATCAAGAAACTCTCCAGCACCAACAGGTGACACCAGGTGATATCACCGTACTATTCAAAATCTATGGCATATATTAAAAAAAGATATACAATTGATTGATTGAAGTGTTTAAGATAATACTGCGGAGACTGATCATAGTGATAACTAAGATATTACGAATCCTAACGTATTGCCACTTATTTAGAAAAATTTAAATCATGATCTTGTTTATAATTCCTTAACCTTGTCAGTAAAGTTTTGTTTATATTTGTTCTTGATGTTTTCAGTATCTTTTTATTCCTCTCTTTTTTTTACATTTATCTTATTTGTTCCGAATGGATGTTGGTAAGAAAAGTACGGCATTGATAATAATTATTCAGGCTGAGTATTTATATTATTCTTTAGAATTGAATACGTTTACACATTTCCCAAATGGAAGTATTAAACAAGTTTTATAAATTACGAATAGAATGGAATTAAAATAATAATAAATTGAAAAGGAATTTTCTAGGCTACATTGATTGATCATGGTTAATTAGTAGTTGTTGATTTAGTTTATTATAATTAACCAATACCAAGTTAAATTTATCCAACTGCTTTGTTTTTTTGGGGGGGGTTTTTTGAACAATTTGATTTATCTTCTTTTCTCTACAACCAATAGGTAAACTTAAGATAAAGTTCACTCAAAAATTGAACAGATTAACTCATGGTAATGTAAATGAATGTGGGTATATAGGCTGATAAACTTCTTGATTTTCACCAAATATGAAAAGAATAAAAGAAAACAATTCAAGTTAAAAGATTACTGGAATATCAATCACAAATTAATTTATATACAAAGATGAGCATACTGTGTGTGTGTGTGTGTAAAGACGGTTTCTGCGTTTAAACTAATAAATAGTTAGCTGACGGAAAACAAATGAAGGAATCAGCATTTATGAAATGACTTTATAATATAATGTCATTATGTATTAGTATGGGTTGAACAAAACTTGCATGATATAATTCTTTCCACATTTGACTTTTGTTCCATGTTACAGTTTCCTTGATATAATCTCTTGTTTATAAGTTGGTGAATATATGCTATTGTGGATAAATATAGCCATAGTTGAACTTTATTCAAGTACACTGTACACTATTTACTAATGAAATGAACGTAAATCAAAAGTCAGGTCTTCCAATATTAGTCGGTCTGATTTTAACGGTTTGTCTTTGTGACGAACGAATGCAATAATTCGATTCATTTGAATTTAATAAAGACATATCCATTGTTCCTAAACCATATGACAAAGGTACTGTACTTGTGCATGAAGCTGCTCCAGATGATAAATTTAATGATCCAGAAGGCATTAAATTTCTCATGTTGTTTCGTGCAATTCCATGCTGATGATACTGAGACGAATCAACTACCAGGTGACTAGTATTGTTCATTGAATTATCAAAATTGATGCTGTTTCCTGAAATATAAAAATAATCTGCTATCTGTAAAGTTTGTATCATTTACTATAGTTATCAATGAATGAAAACTAGTGAGCGGCAAAATATTTTGTATAAATTTTAAATGACCATTATTCTATAAAAAATGTGGATATGTAGCTCTTTATTGATAGGAAGCAACTCCAAACTATTTGTTTTAATCAACTCTTGGGATTTATTTTGACTAATATTTCCTCATGGTCATTAAACTCAATTAGAAAGAGAAGGGGTTTGAGAAAGCATCGGTATTTTAAAGTCAAGATAGACTGGTCCAATCAATAACTCCTTTCGGCCAATTCATTTTCAAAATTGTACGATGAAAAATATATACCTATTCGTCGTAATAATACTTGATGATATGTCTGTTTGCAATAGTGGTAATGATAACACTACTACTATTCCTAAAAATAATTTGCTGAATAAGGCAACAGAGATGTAAAATAAACAAAAGTACAAAAATATTATTCTTACTTTGGGACTGAAAATGTCACTCTTAAGAGCTTGGATATTTATCAAGATGGATTAGTAGCAATATTTATGCAAAAGGGTGTCGTGTCAACATGAAAACAATTGTTGAGTTAAAATACAAGCAGTCATTCCATCACACTTCTATTACATGAATGTTAATTTACAATTAATTTAGAGATAACTAAGTCTTTTTAGTTATTCCCATTCTTGTGAATGAAGATAAATGGTGGAGAAAATTTGTAGTTCAAGATGAGGATTTGGCAGGTGCTATGTCGTCTGAGCTGGATGGTTTAATCATGAAGCTTTTATTGTATTTCTCGATAACATTATCAGCACGCAACACTTCATCAAGAAACATCAAGCCGATCACCAAGCTTAAAACAAACAACAGAAATCATCAAACAGATGATTATATTCTATATAGAAAAAATCCTCAAAATCACAAACAGATTATTTAGACCTCTAGGAAGAGGTGTAAAGCAGAAACCTATAACGTCTTCATAATCAAAAGACTAGTACTTGAACGAAGAATATTCTTTTCGATAAATTCTCTTCAGGTTCTACAATTATATATCCAAATTAATAATTCGAAGAATGGCCAGGTTAAGGGCAAAGTATATCGTTTAAAGCATGTAAATTTGGGATTGTGATAAACAAAATACAATAAAATTGTTAAGGTTGATATGACTCAGATAGAATGTTAACTTGAATCTGCGTATTTGTTAAGTGAAGTTTTAAGATCCATGATCGGAATAAATATGGGTCAAATAGGGTGCGAGAGAATAATAGTACAATTACAATTCGACCAAATTACTAAAACGTAATAAGGAGGGGTGAATGAGAAGTGAAGGAATCATGTATAGGGGAGATTAATAAGGATGTTTAACTAATAATACGAATAATAATAATAATAATAATAATCATTATTATGCAGACCAATGACAAAAGGAGACCAACCAAATATCATTTACAAAGTCAACTACACCAACTCATGGAAATACTATATTAGAAAAAAAGACCGATCGCTCTGTCTACGTCTACATGAATATCAGCTAGTGGTTAGAAGCTACAACATAGCTTCTCTCATCTCAATCTAAGTGGGCAACTATGAACATGATTCTGACGAAAAAACGTCGGAGTACTGGAAAGAGGAAATAAAAAGAAATCTAGAAAATTCTTAGAAGTATGATACTCCGGTAACACGTCATTCAAAAGACATATCAAAACTGATTCAATCTATTAACCAATAAAGAAAAGTATAAATAACTCCAACGTCAACGATCAGGTTAGACGTGAAAACAATCAAAATAAGTATATGAACAACGGCCATACACTTATGGACAACAATCAACTAAATTCTATGTCAATAGAACAGGCAGCTCGTCCATTGTGCAGAAATTTTAATAACTTATTTCATAATGAAGTGTCTGCTGATGATAGTGTCGATAAAGAAAATGAAGGCTTAAAATTAAGTCATCCAGCCTGAAGAACAAAATACTCTCAAAATGAGTAAAATGTTAGTCTGGATGCAGAATATATACGAATGATCAACGTGACATTTACAAGTTAATTGCCTACTGCTGGACGGATTTATAATACTGTAATATAGGTTCAAATAAGTAGTCTTGAAAGGATATTTCATAGTTGGTCTAATAATGTGAAGACTTTCTAGAAATTAGTTAAGATTTTTAATTCATCTCATAAATGATTTAACTGAAGTAACTAATACAGATAAACGCATAAATATAATGTTGTTATAACATACAATTGTATGGTTGATTCTGAAATGAACTTGAATAGTTTTGTTAAGCACAATGATAAGTTTCTTTTATTTTTGCATAATAACAAGCATCAAACATAAAAACACCTTGTACAGATTTCATTCGTGTGTCCACATATTCGAAAAGGCTTATCTTCAAATATTTTTCCAACAAATTAATATTTTCGGTTTAGTTTAATGTAGCTTTAGAGGTTTCATAAATGCAATGAAATTAGTTTTCACTTTAGATATATTATTGGTTTTTAGTCTAAGAAGTAGGTCTTATATAATATAAGCAATCATCATATTTATGAATTATCTAAAGCAGTACTACTTTTTTCTTTCTAAACGATTACCTACATATCATGTTACATCATGTCCTGATAAGAAATGTCTTTGTTTACTAAGGTATACACTTTCATTAGAGATATTTGTATTTATTCATTTCGAAATATGAGATATTTTCATAATTATAGCTTCTAATATATGTGCTTTTATCTATTATTTTGATGGATGGATGCATATATAACTGGTTGCTATTCGTGTGTTTGTCGATATCAGTATTGAAATGGATCTAAGTATAGATAAATGACAATTTAAATAAACGTAAAACATAAATTTCTTTTCAAATACATGTTACACTGGAAATTTTCTTGGAGTTATTTTGTTTAATAAAAATAAAGATTGTGTTCAAACGGTTTATGGAGATTAATTTGAACATTCATCAACATTTAAATAGTTTGATAGAAATCAGGAGCTGAGCATATAGAAGATCCATATGCGTCTGTTTCACGTCATTTATTTTTCAAGGACAAGAGTAGAGCACGGTCCGCCAGTAACTTTAATTATGTCCATGCTTTGAAAAATAATGCATATATAAGATGTCGATGTCCGCCTACAACTTGGTTATAAGATGTGGATGACATCTTTGTAATGACCAAACAAGACGGATGAGAAAAAAATTATTGAACCGATAAACAATATATCAGATTGCAATAAATTGATCAAGCAAATAGAATCTGAAAACTACAAAGCAGATTTTCTTGATTATCTGATTGAAAAAATATATAAAACAATGTAATAACTAGTATTCTAAGAGATAACTAGATTATAAGTCATTACATTTCCATTCAAGTAATAAGCTTATTACAGAAACAGAAGATAAACAGACTAAAGTAAATTTAGTCTTATCTACACTTATGGTAACTAATTTACTCTAAAACGTTTTTGAATAAGATTACTAACAATGAAGAAAATAAACTAGAATATTTACCAAGAGAATGGAGAAATAAAGTAGTCACCCCATACAGTAAGAATACATTGGAAGATCGAAAAAGAATTATAAATAAACATAATCGAAAAGTTTATTTTCGAGTTAGTGACGCTATTAGATTAGGATTAATGAATGTGAAGCGCAAGACGCCAAAAAAAAGAAACAATAAAACTGTGTTTATGGAATTAAGTGTCATGAATCCAAAGAGTATATGTATGAGAAACATCTAGACAGTTGACTCTTAGGATGAAGGAACACAAACAATGAAATATGTCCCCAAATACTCAGTTAAGCTCAGGAAGCTTAAGAATAGATCGACGATAGCACTGCACATATAATAAACCAAGTGTAAGATCAATCTTGAAGGGACAAAATACTTCAAAGATGTTTTGGCCTTTATAAAGAATTAGTGACATGTGAAGCTATATATATATATAAAATAAACATACAGATAATTAGAGAACTGATGAACACTTACTTGAGTGTATATTTAATCTTGTAAAAATTAAGTGAATGAACTACGATTAGGCTTTTGCTTTGCCAGCAAGAGATTACAGTGGAAATAACAGATTTGTCAAACCATTCAATAGACCAAATATTACGATTAATCACTATAATAATCATTTTCATTCCATATTAAGATAGAGATAGCGCAGTCACAGTGGTATAAGTGATTGCTTTCCTTAGTAATTCACAACAAAATTGTTTTCACTATATCTGTGTAAATAAGTGTGGTTCAGCTTAACATTTTCTACTTATCCATCATAATTCCCACTATCAATAAATTGATGAAACGATTGACTACTGGGCTTGTTTAATTGATTTATATTGATATATTCACTATAAATGTGATGGAACTATACCGAATATCTGATTAGCAATTTTGTCGGTGGCTGATACATTCTTTTGTGGATGATATTATTGTGTGCTAGTAAGTTAAATAAACCCTCTTTAAGGGAACGGAGATTAGGATGCAACTGTTTAATATCCACTTATTAAGTGGAGATATATTGTTGTAGGTATAATTACCTAGGTTTGACTTGATAATTTCGAATAAACTGAGCATTGGGTAGATTGTTATAAATAAATAATATATTTGTAATATACAAATGAGTAGAAAAAAATAGATTTTCTGACGTTTCGTGACTTGGTGTAAGTCACTTCTTCAGAGAATAAATAACCAAATTAAAATTAATCCAAGTTTGAATTGTACAACGGACTATTTATCTATTGTAGTTCATGATGGATAGAATCTATTGATTATAAAGTAGTAAACATTTGTCACTTAACCGATTGAAGCGCCATTCAAAAATACCATATTCATTAACAAGTAATTAGAAACATTACACAAAAAGCCTTGAACGTCTTCATATGTTAACTCCTGAAAATATCCAGTCATATTTTTCTTGGTACTCAAACATATATCACTGTTGATTACAGTTATAGTATTTTTGAAATGGTGGAGAACATCTACACTTGAGGTGGATGCTTTTGTTTGTGTTGTGTTCTCTGAGACTAGTAATTTAGTTGTGAAACTGTCATTAGTCTTCTAGAAAGACTCATCAGTGGATGCTTATTGTTCTGCAACTAAGGCATTTAGCTCAGATAGCACCACACAATCAAGAAAAGTCAAATTGTCCTAGTGGGGCTGATTATTTCACGATTACTTATATTATACAACAAGCAATTTAAGTGAAATATTTGAATGAAATCAACAAACTTATCGATGCGCATAATATGTATATCAACGTACATAGCTTGGGTACAATTATGACAGTATGACACTACAGTATGTGTTAAATCTATATTAACAGTTTCCAGTCCAGTATCAACAACATAAAACATTAACATAGTTTACTGATATAAATTATAAAACTCTCAAATTAGTAGAAATTGAGTTGAACCTGAACAGAATACCATTTCCAAATTGTTAGGAATGTTTGATAGTCTTCATGATATTCAAGAAACTGTTCAAAAGTAAAACTTTCGGTAGAGAAAAGATACTAATAACTGGAGAAACTTTATTTTGTAAAAGAAAGACAGTAAAAGATAGTCTCATAGAGCCTTTCTCTTTTTTAGAAAGTGTTAAGTATGAGTAACTAGAGACTATCCAAGGAACATTTGTCTGTGAATATTTGGTAATGAAAGTCCATGCAACTTATTACCTATAGGAAAAATAGCCTAAGTTTGGCAGGGCCTATACATCTTTCCAATAAAAATTATTTTCCTATCAAGTATGGAAAATATCTCGTCAAACAATGGCCTATTTTTGACCTTTACACTTAAATGGGTTCATATGAAATCAAACGATTGATGTGATAAAGGAATCGAATGAAACAAATAGTGATCATTTACATTAAGTTTACAAAAGTGAAATTGTTCTTTCCTGTATATTTCAGACAAATTCATCAAGAAGATACAGACAACGTTTATACAACAAAGTAGAATAAGTGATATTTATTTTATATCAGCATAAAAACAAGATTAATTTGACTACTAATAATGAAGCTCTTTTATTGCTATTGGTTTTATGTTGTCTAGACATAAACACCTCATTGGATATTCAATAAAAACCATTTAATATATTGTATAGGTATAACTTATCTTAATCAGTCTAGTTGATGGGTAATTAGTTTTCAGGATAAGAAAATAACACTGGAATTGTAGGATTCATGTGGTTTGATTCTACTGTCAGAAGAGCTGTTGAAACTAACATCTTCATGTCGGTTATGGTTATGAGTCGATTGACGTTTTCGGTAGAAGACAGGAAAATCTTCACTTTGTAGTTTATACATCAAGGAAAATCCTTCAATACTCAGAATTGTACATATTAGATGTCATTAAAACCGACACCGAGTGCATTCGGATAAAATATTATAATAACTATTCGATGAGCTTATGTACTAAAATAGCTTAAATAGTTCATTTTAATACATCATACAAGATTAAACTCAGTACCTTCAGAACCGACTGGAAGCACTCTACCAGAAAACCAGTACAAATCCAATGAAAAGATTTTTACTAGTCAACTGTGTTGTGTAACAATAACCTTGAGTCGAATATGAAATCTATCCCACTCTCGACATAACTAAACTCCTTTGGCAACTGGGTCTTCATTGAACCTCACATGCTAATCTTCAAACTAGTCAATAATGAGTAAAATGTACATTATCAAGGTAGAGGATCTATAAAAACCGTTCAATTAGAAGTTAGTTTTCATGAAAAACCGATTATGATTGCTGCTTAATGGAATATGAACAATGATTAAAGGTCTGAAGAATAATGCACAACAATAAATAGAAATAAGCAAAATGAACTATGGGACTTGTGAGTGTTCCTAGTATAGGTATTGTACATGTTCCCAATATCACTAACTGACAAAAGCTATATATCCTTAAAAAAGCCAGTAAAATTTAAATTAAATTTTGGAGAGATTACCTCGTGAACTAAACCGAATAACTATGCGTAATTGAAATCAAACGACTGTTTAGAAAGTTATTGTTTAAGTCGAACAAGTTATGATGCTAGTGAACTGTGTTTTCTGTGTTCAATATCCGACAATTTCAAATAATATGCAAAAAGATAAAAGTCACTTCTGTACATTCTTAATGGAACTATGAAATTACTGTTTCTTATTAGCTTGCGTCCTCAAAGATTTGACCAGGCGAGGACTTCGTTTACATATTCTAACAATTATATTTAATGAGTAATTTCTAGGAAAGTCTCATCCATAAATAGGATCACAATAAAGTTTTCGGAAAAGTTACAGTAATTTCACAAAACAATATGGTAACTCAAAAAAATTTATCCAGTCTGAAACATCAAGAGGCGTTATCTAAAATTCTTCAGTATATTTAATTAGCCTTAAAGTTACGGTATGGTAACCTTGAACATGGAATTCTTACAAAGGCACGTCGTTTTAGTTAGTAATTATTCATTTTAACTTTTCCAGTCACATTATGGCCTGTTTATTTTCATAGAACAGTGAAAAAGTAGCCTACTTGTTTTATTACATCAAGTAAACAGATTGCTGTTTTTTATTGATTTTACTCACCCAATAACCATAAATAGTTTGTTGTAAATACATGCAAAATGGACTTTTGGTTTAATAAATAAATAAATCCGAAGCTTGTAACTTTTATAGCTATTACCTACCTACATTTTCATTGATTAAAAAAAGAGGGAGGAGAACGACAAACAGCCAGGAAAATGAAACAGTTTCTTTATTTTATAGATCGATGATAATGACTGTTGTCTACCGAAAAACACTCATTAGGAAAAACCAAAGAAGCATTAAAAGTTTCAAATACAAAAAAAAGGAATCCAATACATTTGTTGTACTAAATATAAACGAGCATATACACACACACATCCTAAAAAGCAATGTATTTTTTCATAGTGTGTTCGAAAAAATTACACAGTTTACTAAGTAATTTGCTAAACAGTGTAGTTACATATAATTTCTACCAGCTGGTGCATACAGTAAACGTATCAGTAAATTTGTCAAGTGTACATCTAATTGAATAGTATATTAGAATCTAAAAGTAGGGTGAATTTTCAATGTTTTCATTGATATGCAAGGGACGTTTACGAATAAGTCATTTCAGGGAAAGCCTTATTTACCTAAAGTAAAACACCCGCTATCGGTTAGCTCTGTTATGGTTAGGGAATAAGATAACCACATTCCCTCATGAGAACATCTTTGAAGTCTGAGAATTGTTAGGATATACTGTGAACCTCCTACAGAACTCTTTTTGAATACGTAAATGTTATCTGAAAAAAGATCTGTGTACTTTGAACTGTGAGTTTTAAGCCAACGAAAATGTCTCCAGTTCAACATCTTTCACACAGAGTGAAAAGAGTAAAGCACGAACATATTTATTGAAACCAGTACATTTTATTGCCTAGTTTGAAGTTTCACATTTTGTCGGTTCATGTTTTACGTTTCATTATCAGAGAAACACTTTATAGTGTCGATAAGGTAAAGTTTTAAACACAAATAGTGATCAAATGTCGAAAGCAAATAACTTGGAAGTACGTTTTATTTACTCTAATATAATTATATTACATAAACACCGTATAGTCTAAACTTTTATCCGTGGATCCTACTGCACTTTGCTTCTCTTGGTAAGTTTAAGAAAAGACTTAGAATACTGTTCAGATAGTCAAATATCCTCCCAGTTCTGTATTAAATTTCAAAACGTTGAAATGGCTGTACAATCTATAGCACTATTTGTTTGGGTGATTCATCAATTAAAAGTTGTTGGTGTTATTCGATATTGTTTTTCTTAATTTAACGTATTAAATGTATTAGCTTAACAGACATAAGGAAATAATTACTTCGGGCACAACTCTTCCTCTTTCCATGAAAATTTTATGGTGATGCGTAATATATAAAGATGTACTTGAATGTTAATTTAATCATAATCCAGTCAGTTATATAGCGGAAAGACAAGAACATTCCTGCAGAGTAATACTTACTGTAATCGAGATCACTAGTAAGGAGTGAAGACGCAGGTTAGCACCTTTTAGCACTTAAGATTCGAAATCGCTTGAATCGCAATACATTCCTATTAATAGCTGTTATAGTTAATAGGAGAAATTGACTTACCAGACGTGGGAAAAAAGTCTCTCTTCAAATAAGCTATTAAAGCTGGATCAACTAGACTAGTCGTAAATTGCTGTGGAGTTTGAGTGTCGATCTGTCGGTAACTCAGTAATAAGGGTGATATAAGTTATATTTGCTGAAAGTTTTGTGTTTACTCATTAGATTTATTATCGTAATGTAAATATGGTCAAGTCGATTTACATGTGTGGTGATGAACTCATAATTTTCATTCTCTTGGGAAATTTGAAACAACGAAAATGGGAATCTCTTCATTTTGGAAGACAGATAGTTGAACAACTTCGACTAACGAAAAGTAGATGTTTCGTCAATAAATGTAGTAAGAATCTCCTTTGTTACTTCCATCATGAAGAATCTTTTTCAAAGAATTAAAATGAAGTAGATTGGATAGTTGATACCATCTCATTTCAAACATTAGCGAATTCCATTATAAATATATTTCTTCTAAGATTGCCACAAATTTCCTGAGGATTAGATGTTTTGGGTCAGAAAAAATATTACTAAACACAATAAGAAAACAGTAACGTCTCAATAAAACTTAAGTTCGCTTTTTCTTATAAGTGAATCAAGCATCAGTTTAATTGTACTTAAATTATTTTGAATATACTCCTTAAATTTGTGAGCAAATATAGTACATTCACTTGGTATTGTTTTGCTTGAATCTTCCCATTGATGTTTAAGACTGCAATTGATCAGTCTATTATTGGCATATGTGCCAATGTACATGTTTATACTTTGTCTGTAAGGTAAATATTTTTTCTAAAGAATCGACCACAGAAAGCGGACGCTGATTTACGTTAACTGTTTTACTTTAAGAATGAAACCAGTAAAATAAAGCAAAAACCAACATTTATCCAAAGAAACAATAACGTGATTCGTCACTTCATTTTTATTATTTCACTAATCAGTTAGCACGTAAGTATTATTACACATATGTTTAAGTAAAGAAGCACTCATTTGCGCATATGTGTCCTAGCTACCGGTCACTGAACATCTGTTTAGAATACCAAAGTGTTTCTAGGTATTTTACGTCTCCTCAAAAGAAAACTAATAAAAATAAGTTAATTGGACAACAGAAAACACGATTGATAACTGTAGAAAAATCATCATCATCATCATCATCATCAACATAATAGTAATATGCTACATATATCTTTATTTTTTTATCCAAAATATAAAAAAGGATTTCCCAAATGTTTTATTTCGATAATTACGCTTCAATGTACAACGAAATTTAGATAACCAGGTGAATATCTATGATAAGATAAATTACATTTAATGTTGCAGGTGGATGATAAATTTCTTCAATCATAATAAACAAAATACAATTATCCACTATTGTAGTTTCATTTAAACTTTTAAATAAAAATAAACCGAACAAACAATACGAATGACATCCGAGGACAAGATGTCGAGATTTCCAATAAATCAAATTATACTAAATTAGGACTAATTTCTAACAGCAATCATGTACATCAAAATTATAGTTTATTTATGAACCAGAATTTTTCGAAAGATAATGTGTAGGCATAATATGCTATCGTTCATATTTGGTTGGTGTCAATATGGGTGAACATCAGAAATAAATAGGATTATTAATAATCGTAATAACTAGTTGTAGGGATTTCAATGATAATTTGGTAGGATAAATAATTGGCGTTTTGCCGAAATCACTTCAAACACGTTGGTGATCTTAGGAAATATATCACATGGTAGTACACTTTCTACTATGTTCTTATTTGTGATGAATATATATATACCTTTGGTTGAGAATGTTCAGGCTTTATAATCTGTTAAACCGTTTGATCTAGTGGGACTGATTATTACACAGGAAAACAACTTAGGTTACGTAGAGACGTCATTTGTTATTTCAGAAGTATGCTGCCACTACTACTACTACTACTACTACTACTACTACTACTACTACTACTACTACTACTACTACTACTACTGCATTTGACTAGCTTATACTCATAGGTGATAAGTTAGGGAAGTGTAGAAGGAATCTACAACAACATGCATGACAACAAGTTTATTGATCACTATCGGTTATCGTCAAAGAAACATTTAGGCAAGTTTTTCCATAATCAAGTAATACAGTGACCGTTTATGAGTTAATGTTTTGCTATAATTTATGTTGTTCTGAAGCGACTGGCTCCGAAAAGGGATAAATCTAGATCACACATCACTAGTTGAATGGTAAACAACTTCACATTCAGCAGTCCTTAGTAAAAATTGAGTTCTACAAATGAATTTTAAAAAGCAGAAACGCAGAGAAAAATTTACTCATTAATGAAAAATAAAGATTGTGATATTATAATTTGTAAGTGATCAATTATTGCAAAATTCCATTTTCGTCCAATTATATTGTTTATTCGAATTAAAAATCAGGTCAATTCTAACATTTTGGTTAAATAATCATGAAAGTCACCAACTTTGGTGTGGGTTACATACTCTATTTTAAACATTGAAATTCTGTACCCCGACTAAATACAATTCACTTCCAGGTTTAACATTAAAAGCAAAGAAAAACTGAAAAGAAGAAATCGAGTGAATATTTTAGTATCAAAATAACATAATGCTCTGAGTTTTTGTAAATAGTGAAAAGTTTCTGTCAGAAACTCTCTTGCATCAATGATACAGATTTCTTTTTAACTAAATGTCCATACTCTAACGAATACCTTACCACGTGCACATCACTTTTTACGAGGTAGCATACGCGTCTGTGAATATGTAAATTATCTGCTTAAAAAGGTTGACTATGTGTGTAATATCCAGCATTTTATCGTTCATTTAGTCAGTGAATTGTACCTATAACAGTATATTTTCTACTGATAACTTCATTCCAAGCTCTAACTTTAACTTTATTTACCTTTTTCATACAGTATATATATATATATATATATATATATATATATATATATATATATATATATATATATATATATATATACAGACGATTAATATCAAGTCCTCATTGAAAATTGCACTATCATGCAACACTGACGGACAGTAAAATGGTTGAAAATACTAGATATCTCATTTTTGTTGAACACTGAAAAATGGTGGTTATCCTCACACCATGTTATTGAGTATTATAAATTGTGATGCCTGGCCATTTTTCTCAACATAACTATTACTCATTGACTTAGACAACACGTAAATTATCTAGCTCTTGGTTACTCGACAAAAAATAGAATTAATAAACCGTTGATCCCAATTTTGAAATTCTTACCTGGATGCTGACTATTTATTCCACATCCTCCTCTTGAATTGCAACAGGTTGAATTCATAGGTTGTGCTTTTTGGTCAACTTGAGACAAATTATTATTATTCCCAGTAGCAACACCGGCAACAGCATCCTCACAAATATGATGATGGTAATTCAAATCATGTTTAGATAAATCTTTCTTTTTGCCTGTCATACATTTTATCCATGTTTCTGATGATTTCCGGTTACACCATACCCACATACCTGAAGTGATACCGACAACTAATGACATGAAAATTTGTAGCATATTAGCTTCAACTGATGGGAAGTGATTATCACTAACGCATTGGGTGACCAACGACCAATTTGTACCGTATTCCGTCAAACAATTTGTTTGTTTCGCCAGTTTATCTAGTGTTTTCATCCATTTTGGGTAATTAATATAATTGTAAATATTCACACCAATAACACAGGCCTTTGGTAAAACATATAACATAGAAAATATGGCTATTTTTATCATCAATTTATCTAAACGTCGTATATTCCCATTATTGAGAGGAATGACTGGACTAGTTAGCGTTATTGGTTGTAGTGGTGTTGCTGATGTTGCTAATGTTGCTGTAACGTTTCTTTTAAACTGAGAGTTATAACAGTTTGCTAGTCCTGTTTTCGTGTTGGCAACAGGCATGAGACTTTTAACATGTTGTTTCAAGTTTGATCGAAGAGAAATCAAAGAATGGAAACCTACCAATAAAAATAAAATACCCAACAACAGGTAGATAACTTGTGGCAATAATATAAATGCAAGTAAACTTGTTGAATTTTGATAACCAACATTGCACAACCCAGTTAACTCATCTGCATCAATGCGGTGCATGATTAATATGATAATAGTCTTTAATGCGGGAACTGCCCAAGCGAGCATATGTAAGATACTACTGATAGCTTCTATGCCTTCACATCCCCACTTACATGAAGCCGATAAGAACCATGAGATAGCTAACATAACCCACCATAAATAACTAGCTTGACTAAAATAAAACAGGATAAGAAATACGATAGTACACCATGTACCTTCATGTCCAGAAGTTATCAAGAAAGTAACATTAACCTTCGACTGGGCCACACTTGTAAGAAGTTTCTTCGCTCCTTCTTGTGATACTCCGCTGGGTAATAATGATGATGAAATAGTTTCAACTTTGTTTCTACAAGCCACCGAATCACGTCCAATTAGAGCGTGTAAAATGAACCCAGTAGAATAAAAAAAGTAACAAACTGATATATAAATAATCGGTCTCTCTGGATAAGCGAAACGTGAACGGCTTAGAGTAAATGTAATCATTGTCATTGTGCATGATGCTAAACAAAGTATGGCCCAAACTAACATCCAAATATTGGCAAAACGTTTTTCAATTGGTTTGTAAAACAAATGAGCGTTGCACCGACGGGCGCATGTAATATTATCATGCGCTTGTTCGGAATATAAAAGGATTTCAACAACATAACACTTTGAGGCTTGTAGTTTGGCTCTATGAAGTATATGATGCTTCATCAATCCAGACTGATTATTATCTATAAGAGATATCTTCCCATGATTGTTATCTGTCTGGTTAGTCTGCGCACCTGTCAGTTGTTGATTTTGTGCATTTTGATGAGCTAGAAATTCACCAAAATCTGGTAGCAAGTTAGCAATGGCTCCATGAGCTTCAGATGGAATTCCTTGACTTATAATTTCCCCTTGTTTATCTAAATCATAATTTTGTGGTTGTATACACATTCCGGACTCGGAGGGTAATGATTTACAATTCAATTCAATTGGCCAAGGGAAGCTAAAACTTTTCATAATTGGTTCACATTTTGACTGAACATAACGACATAAATTTTGACATGGTTGTAAGGCAGCTGGTGGATTCAAAGCTGGAGTACACATTGGAAAATAAATCGTACATAGGAAAAATTTCAAATACTGTGAACATCCAACATTGATTAAGGAACGGTAGTCATTCATGCGTTTTGCGGCCTCTTCTTGTGTTGTTAAACCCACTGAATTAGGCAACGATGTATGTGTGTATTGAAGGCCATGACAAACAGATTCATGAATTGGAACACAGTGACTCACATCATCTACACCTTCTTCACCTTCTCCATGTTGTTCACCTACCCTTTCGTTTGAATAAACTTCACTTGGTATATTTCCATTTTGATTAGATTCAATTAGACTTTTCAAATGATCGGACACTTCGATTTCTTTTGAGTTAATGGGAAACATAATCGGCACAACATCCCTTAACCTTCTTGTGATAGCTTGTCGAGGTAAGTATTTCTCATTGAAATTAATATCTTCATTAATTCGGTCATAAAAATATAAGTTTGAACTTTTAGTAAAATAGTTTTGCGTTTTATGGTTTGTATAAGCAGTATCAGCATAGAACTGAGTTAAAATAATCGTTACAGTATTAATAATATTGAATAGGCTAATTTTTTTATGTAAATGCATTCTTAAAATTTGTATCCACAAGAGACAATCTATGCAAACTATCAGAATAAAGGAACGGAATTGTATAATTTTGTACAAATTACTTCATCTTAAAAACAAATATACTGACGGATAAACATATTATTATTTGCTTGGAAATGTATTCTTCTTGACATTATGTTAAAAAGTCATTTGAGATCTGTGAATTAACTTTCGTTCAATGTAGTGCATAAATGAAAAAGAAAACAAGATATGTGCATGAAAGCACCGACAATAAGAACACATGAAATTGTAATTCAGTGTACAGATTTGTCTTTTCATCATTTAATCCTGATTGGTTACAAACAATCAGCCTATCCTGTAATTAATATTATTTACCTTGTAAATAAAGAGGTGAATTGAAGGAAAATGTGTGGTTAGCTCAATGTCGTTAACTGAAATACTAAGCTAATATACTTAATTATTGTCAAAAATAACTCAACAAGCATTATGTACACAACAAACTGACTTTAACTACAGGCCAAAGTATGCAATGAACTGTAAACACTTAAATTTCAGAAATTGTTGAGTGCGATGGCTGGTTATTTCTCCTCACATATTGATGTATTTACAGTTGTTTTATAAATGTAATGGAGTTAATAACAATGAGTTTAGCCTGTACATGAAAATGTATTACTATCTTTATGTTTCCTTCGAATCATAAAAATAATATAGGCGTGTTTATAACGCCTTATCTTTTTAATGAAATTTCTGACAGTTTAAAATGAATTATACGGTTTTATTGTAGTTTATGCGTAGGATTGAAAGAAAAACCCAGAGATTACTAACTTGAGGTCACTTTTTTGCCTACAATCAATAATACTGTACATATTTTTTCAATAGATTCCCTTATAAATTAATTCAATTGTTGTGATAAGTTTGTTCAAAGAAGGTGCTATTTAAAAATTGTTAGTTCCTAATACAACCACTATATTTTACACAAGAGCTATAGTTGCACTCCTCTAGGGGTTATCTGAAGAAAGGTTTGTAAATCGTTGGTAATAAATAATAGTGATATTGTTTTGACATTTTAAGTATGATAAATAAATAATTTTAAGAAATCCACCGGTTTTTCTTTAAATTTTCATACACTTTTCATTTTCATCTATATGCTTTCATAAAAGGTCAAGTATAGAGAAAATAAAGTTCATATACATGTACTTCGCTTTGCATACAAGTGGTGTAACTAACAATTTACAGCTAATAATGAACAAAAAAGTATCTCATAAACAATAAATATCGTATACTTGTGTGATGTAGTGTGGTTTAATGTTATTTGCTTACAATGCTCGATATAATGATTTATAATGGTATGTAGTTGTAGTGGAATAACCTCAGTAATGAATAAGTTAGGTTTTTACAGAATCATGTTTCAAAGGTCATAATATAATTTATTGCTTGTAAGTAACCTTTGAATGTTCTAAATCGATATTATTAAAACAAAAATTATTGTCTTTTGCAACTGATTCCCAAGTTTTAAACTTTGTGTTATTAATTATGAGCACATAGTTCATTATTGTGTCAAAATATGAGTTTCGTGTTTAAATCCTTTGATATTACCTCCAATCGTGTTTGATATAATCTGTTATTTGGTTCAACCAGTAATGGAAATTCTTAATTGTTTGAACCATTTAAAAGACAGATTGGAGGTTGAATTGACCAGATGAAAATAAGTATATTAGAAATGAGCATAGTTAGTCACCAATCCAAACTCAAACTTAAACTTGATTCACTATGCAGCCTTACCACAGCCTGCACTTCAATAAGTTTTAACTAGTTTAGGTAGTTTATCATATTCTATCGTAAGTTGTGCTATCCATTTTGGATCTAGCTGTACCGGTTATGGTGAAAATTCAGTTATATAACCTAAATCTGTTAAATGTAGTATATGAGTTGTAACGCTGCTAATAATTAACTACTCGTTTCGCAGACATATTGATACTTTTGAGACCACTAAAAGCACTCTTTACTGTCATTAGTTTGATGGATAATTAACTTACCAAATACCAGCTAGGTTTTCCATAAGATCTGAATGATACTAAAAATCACTTTCTAAATGAAAGTTAAACGACATGAATATTAGATTACGGACGAAATATAGAATCAACTTTAGATACAAAGTATTTTTAATTCCAGTGTTTGGTTGATAGATTACGAGGACTAAACATTCAGCACCTCTCTGAGGATCTAATAGTTGTGCAGAAATCTTTTTTATGACCAACTGTTCTATGAAACTTAAAGTTATTCTACTTGAAAGTAGACATGTAGTGAATGAGAACACAAGTAGTGACAATCGAATGTAGTTGAAAACAAACTTACAAAACATCTTAGTAAAATCTGAGAACCATACAGAAAATACTTGATTTGCAAAATATCAATCAGTTGTTTCAAAATTGACTGTTACTTCACAACAACCATTCACTGTTCTTGTTCTCTTTTCTTAGATCTTCCTAACCTTCTGCTGCCAAGTATTCCACTTTCGACTGATGATACATACTACTGATATCTCTCGACATCAGTAGCTCACACCACAAACATTCTAGAAAAATACTTATTTGTTCTCCTAGTATTGAGTAACAATAAAAATGTAAACTAGATACACACCACAAATCCTATCTAAGTTGTGGAATATCTGGTTCACTTCACGAGTTAGTTAAGTACTTTTGGTTATGAGTAGTATTATAATGAAAAATAATTTATCGCAAAATATTTCCATTTCGAAAGGTTTCAGCAACCATATCATTTTCCCTTTATTCTAAAATGAATTCTTATGATTTTGGTTAGATTTTATATTGAGCACTGTCAAATTTACGGGGAGCGACTTTGAATAATTTACATAGTGTGACTGCAGTTAAACAAAGAAGTTATGTGAGTATATGATTCAATTTGTCTCATATTTAACTACCTTTATCTAATCAATTCAAGAGTAAATATATTTAGAAATTATATCCACATAATAGTTTACATTACTGAATATAATCACCTTATCATTACTTCCATCTCAATTTTACTGATAACTCAAATGAATCTAGGAAGTAAGGGCTTAGAGTGCATTTGAAGGACCTGGATATCAATAGAATATTATGAAAGCTCCTTTGAAATCGATAGTAATTAATCTTATTAATATAGCTCAGTTTGTACAGCAATTACAACAACCTTTTCGATCCCATATTGTTTTTCTAAAAACTGAGTACAAACGTCTTTTTCTGATCATTAAATATAAAGACCTAATTCGAACAACATTCGGACATAACTAGTATGTTATTTATGTGATAAATTTACTGAAATTATAAACAAAACTACATTTCGAAAATGGATTAACATGTCATTTATATGAAAATGTAAATAATAAACATATCGTGCTAAAATTAGGTCAAACATTTGCTGATGCAACTGATACACATATGTGTGCTTATCTTTGCTTATTTCACTAGAATTCAAAATATATCACCATTAGTCAGGACAAAAATGACTGTGAACACTAAAATATATATACATTGGAAAGCTAATTGGCGCCTTATGACAGATTGATATCTACATTATCCGTCTAGACAAACATTATCTACACCTGTGATATTAATTTTCTTACTAAAATTATTTGCGGTTTTTTTAAAATAAGTTAGGTCATCTAAAAAAATTACACAAAAAGTCACAAATTTCATGAGCGATAAATTCAGTTATTTTGATATAAAGCCTGTAGACAAGTCTATGAACAAACAGTCAGATAATTATCAAATAAACGGATATAATTAAACAAGTTCTCAAAATGTTATATATTTACTTGAGTGGATACTTTACTTTGAATGAATCTTTCGTTACAACTGTTGCTCAGAGCAATACTTAAACTAAGTTCACCATAACAATTTCTGACCTAAATTCATGATATACTTGGTCACTGTTACTGAGCACCCCTATGCAAAACTCGCAAATCCAAGGTTAGTGTGCATCATGTTTGTGTTCGTTAGTGTGGTGTAACAGAACGGATTTATATGATCGACAAGCGATATGATGAACATCCCAAGAATGTTATACTTTATTGAGCTACCGATTATAAAGAGGAAACACTTGGCTTGTGACTATTAAGTAAGAATATTCGATAAAAGCATCACTCTTTCTATTTATTGTTAGCCAACTCAAAGTAATACTGAAAAATTGATTCATGAAACTACCTATTTGGAATGATCTTGTTAGATAATTTACCCTATTACTAAACGAAAAAGTATAAACCGTTTAGTTAAACTATAGGGCAGAAAAAGTCTTATCTCACTGACTAGTGACCAAGAATGGCGGTTTCTAATTCAGATACGGTGATGAAAGTTATAGTGATACTTTGAGTTTATTTATGTAAACATATCCTAGGATGAGTGGTCTGAGAATTTTAGGAACAGAATCAATCAGTTAGCTGCGATAACCTGCACTTTGCTACACAAGACTAAACGTAGTTAAAGTGCGTCCGCGAGTAATCATTAACACGGCGACGTCAAAACTCTTAACCTAGACCCAAACTGTTCAGGGGACGAAGGGAAGACAAGCCAAACCTGTGACTGTGATGAATATAGATTTTATAAGAAAGTATAATTCTTCATACACAGGTTCCCGTCCCAGTGAATAATAACTACATTTAGGTAACTCCGCCTGTTGCTCTTCTATGGTCACTTCCGGCCCCATGTCAGGATAAAGAAGGAGAGTTTAGCACAAGGTTAGCAATCTCATCCCGTAGAAAACAACCTTTCTGAAAAACGCTAACCGGAAAAAATCGTTTAAACCATCTAAACTCTGCCCTGGGATTTGAAGGATTTTCACTTATAAGAGCTATGATACTTCATAGTTAAAGCCAAGATACATCAGTAGTTACGAAGCCGAGGCCCCTTCTTACAACCAAAGTACCAATTAATTTAGATATATTGAATTTCCAGACAGTGTTGGAGGCTGGGAGGACCAAACAAATAGCTGCGTAATTAAGGAGAGACAACTTGTTGGTCCTTGGAATAAGTAAAACTCATTGGATCCAAGCTGGACAGAGATTAGCTTCAGGAGAGATGCCATCATACTCTTGTTATGAAGAGAATGCCTTCCACACACAAGGAGTTGCACTAATGCTATTCAGAGAAGAACGGAAAAACTTACAAGATGGGAATCTCATGGATTTAGAATAATTGTATGAATGGGAAATTTTCAGGATTTAGAATAATCAAATAACTCTTGAAAACAAGAAGAAAGGGTTCATAACGAA